TAGATAAACAACTCTCCCAGTATGTAGTTTATAGACAAACAACTCTCCCAGTATATAGTTTATAGATAAACAACTCTCCCAGTATGTAGTTTATAGATAAGCAACTCTCCCAGTATATAGTTTATAGATAAACAATTCTCCCGGTATGTAGTTTATAGACATATAACTCTCCTAGTATATAGTTTATAGATAAACAACTCTCCCAGTATATAGTTTATAGATAAATAACTCTCCCAGTGCTAGGTTTATAGATAAACAACTTTCCCAGGGCCAGGATTATAGATAAACATGGTGTGTGTCGTCTTCTGAAACCACTCTGTTGTAGACCACTACTGACCCTCCTTTATAACGATCCTGCTATACTTGCACGTCGCTTTCCTTTCAACTTTATTAAGGTTTTACTTATTTCTATCAGGAATAGACTTATACCAAATAACAAATTTACACATATTACTGTATCGATAACACATAAGAAAATTCAGTTTAGAATTAGAATTGGTACTTACTTCTCTATTCACCTGTCTCAGTTTATTTCTTCTAGCTTACACTTCTCTTTTTCTCGTCGATCGCCTTGCTTTTATAATTTCACTGTCTTTATATATATCACATGACAGTTTACAATCTTTGTCTTGATATTTGACAACTTTATAGTTAGTGTCATATATATATTGGTGGAAACATTTATTTCGTTACCCAATTTTTTCACACTTTTTCTTCGGAATCATCGTCTATTTTGAGGCCCTAATTTATGTAGGTGTAAATATGTTTCATGTACGATGCAGTACTGTCTAATTATTACATCAGTAGCTTTACAGGTTCTCTAGGTATTGCATCGGCCGTTTTTTGGCTATAGATAATAGTTCTTACTAGGAGTAAGTTTAGAAGCCTATCTACTACAACATGCGTATGATGTCAGAAGTCATTGTTTCTTTCAGCTAATAGGAGATTTCGACAAGGCAGATTGCTAGAATAATTAAATTTAACAAGTTTACTGTCAGCCGCTGTATACAGAAGTATAGAGACTGGCTGTGCAGAGTGGCGGGAGGGAAGGGGTAGGAAGAAAGCTTCCATAGTAGCTGACAATCGTGTTTGAAACGCATGAGCCTGTATAATCGTTGACTGTTGCCCACAGATCTCGTCCGTCGTGCACTCTTTTCGATGTCAAGCAGTTATCAAGACCGGAGAGGGAACAACCAAATACATTAAAACAAGAGACAGACTCTGTGAACACTTTTTGTCAATTACATTAGTGGCATTACCTTTAAATCTAGGTTTTCTTACTCAGAGAAAATTTTCGTATTTGACAAGTATTTTTTGATCATCTGCTGTAATATGTTTGTCACGTTTGATTTGTTAATAAATATATATATGTGTGTTTGGATGATGGAAATATGAGTCAGCTTACACCACACAATGTGTATAAACACTTTACAAAGTTTTGATAGTTCGACAATGTGCAATCTCGTAAAAATTAGAGGAACCAAGAAAAGGAACCACAGTATATATATACATATATATCACGGTAACATTTACAAATATTTGCTGTTTTTTCTTTATATATGTCACTAGAAGAAATAAAGTTCACACTTGTTTATATATATATACACTGAGTGGTCACAAGTAAATAGACACCTAATTTTTCGTCATTTAACATGCTAACTAATTTCTGTTCACAGAGCACTATATAAATGAAAATGGTCCGCACACTAATTATCTTGTGCA